ATGTGAGTTGCTTGAAACAGAATGATTACTTCATTGCAGGACTCCAGTTTGCAATGGCATTTCTACATGGAGGACAAGCGCCATATATATTTTCTATCTCCTTTTCTGTTTGAAGCTATTGTTGCTGACCAAACACCGGAGGTGTCATTGCACTATGTCTATGACTATGAGCTAAAGTGCTCACTCCAAGCTATGCTTGACGCAGACACTGTAGAGAAAGCAAAGGAAAGCATAGTGGAAGGCAACCGATTAACTGTACTTGACCTGGCTGGGACTTTGGCAATGCCAATAGAAAAACTAGATGGTGTCAAGAAAATGGTTGCTGCAGTTTCAAGGTGGTTTGTTCTTGGACGATGTAAACCAGCCCTTGAAAGCTTCCGAGACGATGTATCCTGATAGTTTTTCAGATGTATCCTGATAGTTTTAAGCCATTTTTCTGTGATCTCCCCAAGAAGTTGACAGTAGAAACAATGGAGAAAGTATTCAAGCCTAACAAAAGCCTCGTTGGTTCTTCAAAGCGAGTGACTGAGAGTCTTGTTTTGTCCGGATGGAGTGACTATCTGCAAGATATAAAAGATGCAGAAGATCAAGAAGAGTCCAAAATCACCTTGAGTGACATTTTGTTCTTCTCCACTGGTTGCAAAGTATTACCACAACGTGAGATGCCTGTCACCATTGAGTTTTTGCATGAGCCAGCAACCCAGGGGCTACCTACCAAGGTTTCCCAGAGCAAATACATGTTCAAACGTCTTCCAGTCATTCATGGTGATTACGAAAGCTTAAAAGCTGATATGGCCTTTGGCATTCTCAATTCACAGGGTTTTGGTACTGCTTAAAAAACATGCAGTGCAGCTGCAGCAGCTTTGGAACAAGTAGATTTCCTAATCAAAACTAATCTTTCAAGAAAGTTGAAGTCGTTATCAGATACAGAGGAGGCACTTCAAGTGGATTATTTCAACAGCATGTTTCATTTTAGTGAAGACTACACAAGAGCACTCCTCAGAAATCTCGAGATACTACTCTAGATGAACCACTTTCACCAATATTCAGTTGCTCCCCATCAAAGGATGCAAGGCCAATGGCAAGCAATGTTGGAGATTTGATTAATTATTTTATAGCAAATTTCAAATCTGCAATTTCTCAGAGATTGCAAACACAGATTATTTCTTATTTTCTCAAGATGACCATTATCCAGAGTGTTGGACTGAACTTTTATAAATACGTCAATGCAGATTTCCTCCCATCAACTTTGAGTGCCATGAAAACATTGTTCACTAACAATAAACACAACTTGATTTACTATCTTAGTAAATGTTTTCAAGATTCAATTCCACGAATGCTTATGAACAGAATGCCCTATGGTTTGTTAGATTACAACATTTGATTCTTTGCTAAGGGTAGTACGCAGAACCTTGGCATTGAAGACCACTATGCTTCATGGCTGGAAACAATGTTTTCACATTTTGGCCACAAGTGGCTGTGCCTTCATAGGGGACCAGCTTGGCAATATGA